CAAAGGAAAAATTTAAAAAGTTGGAAAATTTGGAAAGGGGGTTGGGGGAGTTCTAAAAAATGTTAGTCAGAGGGCTTTAAAAGGGGTTTTTAAGGTGGTTTTTGGGCATTTAGAGAGAATGGGAAAAAAATGAATGACTTGAGGGGCGTATAAATTTTGTAGAGGAAGGAAGGAGGGGCAGGGGGTATCCCCCGAAAAGGATGGAGGGAGGAGGTAAAGGAGGTTTTGTTTTGGTAGAGGTTGGACTTCCCGTAAGCAACATGGCTGTTAGATTTGGGTGAATGGAAAACAAATGAGTTTTTTGGGGCCCGACAAGCTGTTGGAGTGTGAGCAGGGGAAAATTTTTTTGAAGGGATTCAGGGAAACCCGGGTTTGCCAGGCTTGACTTGGAAATGGGAAGTTCAGTGCATGCACATAAAGGAAGGGGTTTTTGGGGTATTGGCAGTTCGGGGGGAACATTTAAAAATGTTGTTCTGAGCACCTCTGCAAAAACAGTGAATGTATTAGTGATGGTGAAAAATGTTGAATGATGATAAAAGTTTTTTTTTTTTTTTTTTTGGGGGCACACTGCCTTTGGGGGGGGAAATGGCCGATGTGTTAAAAAAAATTTTATTATACAAACCTTTTTATATTTAATTTACAAACTAGTAGACATTCTTCTTCCTTTTTAACAAACCCCCCGCTTTCCACCGAGGAGGCTGGGCCCAAAAAGAAAAATGAAGCTTCTCTTTTTTTAAAATTTGTAATTTATTTCTGGAGAAGGAGTTACTAGCCCCCTTTACTATTTAAATATTTTTTTGTAAATAATCAGGGTCAAAGATAATGTACTAGGTACTTATTGTGACATAAAAAAAATTAACTAAAGATTACTCTTAAAATGGGAATGAAAGTCAAAAATTATTGAAAAAATTTGAATCCCCCGCTAAATAATTTTTTGGGTTGTTTTAGTTTTGAGAATTAAGAAATCTTTAACAAAGAAATTCCCCATTTTTATCTTCATTTAACAAAGACATTTTACTGTAAAAATAAAAAAAACACACAAGAATCAGCAGACAGGGAAAAAAAAAACTGGGCTTTTAAAAATTTTCTACAAAAGTAAGGGAGAGGTTAAAAAAAGTGAAATAGCCCAAGGAAAATATTTTAAAATTTAAACAAAATATTAACTGCAGGAAGAAAAATTTAAAATAAAAATATTTAAAAAAACAGTTTTTGGGTAAAAGGACAAAAAAATTTGGCTAGACAAATTTTTTGGGTGTTTTTGAAACAAGTCTACTGCATCGGGAAATTTTTTTTTGGGGTTTGGGAGTTAAATGTGCATGGCCCTTAGGCCCTCCCTACAACTGACCCCTGTCTGTTGGGATCAGGCATTTCAATTTCAAGGGTTTTTATTTCAACAGACACTTTCTCTCCCCTAAAATCCATTATACAAAGGTTTTTTACCCGCCTTTTCAAGGGGGTTTTGGGGGGACCCAGTAGCCATAAAAAAAAAAAAGAGTCAGGAAAAACATTACAAAAGATTATACAAAATTTATATACAAATATAGATGAGGTATTCAAAAAATACTGAAGGGGAGGGAAACAGGGCCCAACAAAAAATATTGGGAGGTTTTTAAAAAAAACCAAAAAACAAAACAATTATACTGTTCAGAGTAAGGTAGCATTAGGAAAATCTATACTGAGTATGAGAAAGAACATAGATGAAAAGACTAGTGCAATAGCAATGCAGTGGTGCTGAAAAAGATGTTACAAACCCGCAGAAATTCAAAAAAATGTTTAAAATGCTATTATAATACTGGAAAAAAAATTAATTTGAGTTTTTTTTAAAATGCCCCTTTAATTTTCATAACAAAATTTGTTATTACACATTTAAAAATCCAAGCAATCAGTAAAAACAAATTGATTACTAAAAAAATTAGCTTTTTGGGGTCATGCATGCAAAAATGAAAATATTTTCCATCAAATTAAATTTTTGTATCACTAAAAAGAAACCTAGCAGAGAGAGAATAAAAGTTTATAAAAAAAAGGGGAAGGGGGTTTTTTACTGGCTTATGACTAACCGGGTTTATGTCTAACTCCAAAGCAAGTGGGAACAAGAGATCAAAAACAGTTTGAAAAGTGATGATATCGTAGCAGTAAATTTTTCTCTGAAAGGGACAGGTTGGCCCCCACTAATCCGGCAATCATTTTTTCGGTTTTTTCAGTTAAAACCAGCACTAATTTCGATAGCCTAATTTCCAAAATTTTTCATTATATGACTCAGGGAAATTTTGCAGATGTTTGTAAATCCACAGCACAACCCGTGGAAAGGGGGAAACAGTGATGAAAATGAGGAAGATGTAGCAGAAAGGGGGCTTTTATTGATAGGTTAATTTAAATGTATTCTAACCTAACCACTCTAATCCCGGGAGAAAATGCTAATCTGGGACATACAGGTCCCAGTGATGCCGGATTAAATGATGGCCCCACCCGTAATAGCATAGGTTTCAGCCAAGGGAACTTTACCCCCTGTAGCAAGTTTAGGGGTACCGGTGTAAAAGAGAGGGGATTTAATTTCCCATTTTGTATTTCATTTGGGGGATGAAACATTTATAAAATTAAAATTTTTTTTTTGTCTCTTCAAATTTTTTCCCAAACACAAGAAATAGGGAAAATCAGCAGCTTCATGTGGCTTGCATTCCCTTTTGGGAAAATGACGTGACAAACAGTGACAACACAGACCGTGTTTAAAAAAACATGTTTAAAAAAGAAATTTTGTTGTTTTAAAAATATTTTTTGTAAAAGTTATTTTTTCTGAACCCCTATACACCCAAATTTTGAATCATACTTTTTCCCCGATTTAAAAAGTTTTTTTTTGGAAGCCCTTTGTATAAAAAATTTTTAATGTTACTTTAGAAAGTGCTTTACTTTTCTCTGTAAATAAATGGGTATACTTTTAATGATAAAACTTTTTTGGTACTATAACTTTTATATAAAACCCGGCAGTACTGAATTATCACATGGGGGTTAATACTTTCATTTGAGACAGTGGGTAGAATGGGAAAAGGGGGTAAGGCCCGCTGGGATTGAGGGTTTAAAAATAGAAATGTTTAAAAGGAGGTGGGGGTAAAGTTTTGGAGTGGTTGGTGCAATTATTTAAAGAATGTTTGGAAGAGGGTAAGGTACCTAGGGATTGGCAGAGAGCATGCATAGTTCCTTTGTAAAAGGAAAGGGGACAAAAGAAGTGCAGAAATTATGGGAAAAAAAAGCTGTTGAGAAAACCCCGGTAAAGTGTTGTTTAAATTTTTTTTTGGAAAGAATTAAGGGGTAAGAAAGAGAGTAGGATAGGGAGATGAACAAGGAGGTTTTTGGAAAAGGTTGGGGGAGTGTGACCAAAATGTTTTCAGTGAAACATATAGGTGAACATTTTTAAAATGAGGGAAAGAGGTTTTTTGTGGCATTTAGGGGTTTGGAAAAAGGGATTAAAGGCCCGGGGGGGTTTGGGGGGGGTGTGGCAATTGGGGGGGAAGTGTGTGGAAAAGGGGGTAGGTTATTGAAAGCAGTGGGAAAAGTTTTTGAAAGAAGAAAGTGGGCTCTGGGTAGGTTGGGAGGAGAAGGGTTTTTTCCCCGTAAAAGGGGGGTCCTTTGGGCAAGGAGGGTGATGTCACCCTTTGGGGGGCAATATATTTTTAGATGGGATTTTCAGAAAAAGGGGGAAAAGGGGCAGGTGTTTTACAAGAGGTTTTGGGGTTTAAAGATAAAAAATCTAACAGAAAGTGGGGGAAATTTTCACAGTTGCCTTTCTGATGACCCTGTGCTTTTGGGAGATTCAGAAGAGGGAAATTTTCAAGGTCATGGGTGGGGTTTTTGGGAAGTAAAAAAAAAATTTAAAGGCAAATATAGGAAAAAGTAAGGTGATGAGGATAACAAAAATTTTTGGTGACAAAAGATTTGGGTATCAGATTGGGGGGGGGGGGGAGTAGGAGTGAATGTATTCAGATTTTTTTGGGGGGGGATGTGTCAAAGGGGTGGGGCTATGAAAGGGTGAGGTGAATCATAGAATTTGGGTGAGGGGAAAAGGGGGGAAATGGTTGCAATTTGGGGGTCTGTGGGGGACCCAAAAAACTTTTTCCATGGAAGCAAAGAGGGGAAAAATTTGAGAGTATAGTTTTTACCAACACTATTATATTTGGTGTGAACAAAGGGTGGGGGACTGTTGCAACAAGGGGAAAAAAGGGTGGGGGCAGGGGAAGATGTTGTGTCTGGGGCAATGTGTGGTGGAATATAATGCAGGAATTTTAAAAGTTAGGGGAAATTTGGGGAGGGGGGGGAATTTCCCCCAAAACCCATTATCCAGAGAGTGAGGAAGGGTTTTTGAGGGGGTTGGGAAAGTAGAGAGGATGGAACAAAATAAAAATGACTTCGAGAGTGAAAAAACTTTTAGTGGAGGGAAGGCGGGGGGAGAGGTTGACCTTTGGAAAAAATTGAAGGGGGGAAGGTAAAAAGGGGTTTTGTGTGCGAGGGGCGGGGGACTTCCAAGCAAGCATGGGGTAAGCCTATTTGATAGGAGTGAATGGAGACAGATGGTTTTTAAAGGGCTTGAAAAGTGCCGGGTTTGGGAAAGTGAGCAGGGTAACATTTATGTTATGAAAGGATTTAGGGAAACCGGCAGGCCAGATTTGAGTCCTGGAGATGGGAAGTACAGTGCCTGCACTCTGAAGGAGGGGTGCTTAATGTTGCAGCTTTATAACTGTAGTGTAAGCATGCCTCTGGCAAGACATTGATGGAGTGAATGATGATGAAAGTTTTTCTTTTTTGGGCCACCCTGCTTTAGTGGGAAACGGCCGAGGTGTCAATAAAAAAAAAGAAATAATAATATTTCTCTCATAATAGTAAAGAAATTTTGTACTTCATGAGCGATAAAGTTCAGCTCACATTTAAAAATAAAAGGTAAATCAGTATTATGATATATCACACTGGAAAGATATAGAAACTGAGAGAAAATTTTTCTATGCTACTTGTAGATAATGTTTATAAGGATAGCAGTAAGGAGGCAGAAGCTGTGTGTAGAATTAAGCAGCAGCTGAAGTAAAGTTACTACTAGTATAAAACAATATAATGGATCACCTCCATAATGAAAGTTATTAAGGTGGCCATTCAGTGGAACTCTTGAAAATCTAGAACTTTTTCAAATCAGAACAAAAGTTTGAAGAAAAAACAGTTACAGTATAGTGTATTTCAGATATTCTGTTATTACAGAATTTACAATAACATTTTCTTTTCTTTTTCTCAGAAACATACAAAGGATGTGGAGGAGTGTCCAGTGTGTGGAGCTCTCATCAGCAAATCTGAGCTGAATGACCATGCAGCAGACTGTGCTAGTGCTATGTTTGACTGAAATACATATCATGCTTTTCATGCAGCAATGATGTGGTGTCTGCACTTAAAAAATGTGATCAAGCTAGAAAAAGTTTAAATGTAAGCCAAAGTCACTCTTAGAACTACAAGTGAATTTCAGAGGAATGATAAAAACAAAAAATGCTCTATTAGCTAATACAAGGAAAAGAGGACACATGATAACCACATACAGTATTGTTATTTGTATTTTTTGTTGGATTGTTTAAGTATGTAAAACTCGTCTCCATAAAAGCCAATGCAATTAGAGTTTAGGATATATGGCATTCCAGAATTTTAATTAGGGGAAGTAGCTTCCATGGGGCATTTTTTTTTTTTATGCATATGTTGAGCAGCATATTTTAAAGGTCTTTTCATACTGATAGCAAAAACACATATACATATTCTATTTTCTGTTGGTCCGTGTTTTCTGTTGCCATGAAGGTAAATACCCGAGTAGTACCGGGTATGCAGCTAATAAATTTTTTTACAAAGGAGTAGAACAAAAGAATGGTTGTAATTTTCATGGCAGTACCGACAGACCATGGAGAGGGACACTTACGTACTTATGTACAGTTCAGGACATTTATTGCTGGAAATGTTTTGCCACGAATAGCTGATGAAGCCATTTGTGGGATAATGTTTCCTTTAATAAATTTCCTGAGCTGTACATGAGTGTTCTTTTTCACAACAATGGATGGGATACAAAAGGAAGCAGCAAATGCTACAACCACTGGATTTTTAAAATATTATGTTAGATTCATTAAATACTGATGATGCATCATCACAAACATTGATATGCTCCTGTAGCTACAAATCAGTAATCATATATGGTGTCATCTAGGTAGCAGGTTGGTAGACAGCAATTTCCTAGGGAGGTACTACCATCCTGCCAAGTGAGTGTAAAATGAAAGCCTGTACTTAATTTACATGATGGTAGGATTGCTGGTGTCTTCTTTCTGTCTCATAAACATGCAAGATTTCAGGTACATCTTGCTACTTCTACTTAAACTTAAGTCACGATACGCATACATGTACAAGCGTATATATACACACACCCCTCTGGGTTTTCTTTTATTTTCTTACAAGTTCTTGTTCTTGTTTATTTCCTCTTATCTCCATGGGGAAGTGGAACAATTTTTCCTCTGTAAGCCATAATTGCCGTAAGAGCTGACTAAAATCCGGGAGCAAGGGGCTAGTAACCCCTTCTCCTGTATATATTACTAAAGTTAAAAAGAGGAACTTTTGTTCTTCTTTTTGGGTCACCCTGCTTTGGTGGGATATGGCTGGTTTGTTGAAATAAGAAGAAATGATGTCATGTCATATTGTACTATTTTCTGGAATACAGTCAGTTCTTGTGGTGATATCTAACTCAATAACATTTTATATGAACTGTAGAAATATACCTAGTTGGATGAATCTTAAGTTTATTAAGGCACAGGTGCACATAAGTACAGCTATAATACATAGTGTAAATTACCTAAGATAACCTAAAAAAGTCAGAGTAACTTATTTTCATTAGCTGGCAATATAATGACATTTTTAAATAATCATTATTTACATATGTGACTGGTTTGGTCCAGTGGACAACACTGGCCTGTGAGTTGTATGACTTGCTTACCATGGGTTCAAGCCCCACCTGTTCTGGGATTTGTATGAACTAATTTTACTGCTTGATATATTTTCACCAGATAATACGGTGTATGACTCTTTGTACTTGTAACACTTATTGTGAATATAATAATACGTATATATATTTAGAGATTTTTTTTTTAATTATAATCAAGTATGAAATTAAATTTTAATCTGCCTAGAAAATCTTTTTTTTTTCCCCACTTTAATATTTTTTTTATTAACATGTTGTCTGTTTCCCACTGAGGCAGGGAAATTTTTTTTTAGAGATTTTGCCACCGAAGTGGCTAGTTTATTGTGCATTCCATATTCATCCTGTGGAAGGTAGCGCAAGAGCATATGGATACACAAAAGGCCTGGGAACTAGGCCCCAAAGGGTTAACAGGAGTACATATGAATTTATATCCACATATCTATAGCTCACTTATCTGTTACAAGCAAATTTAGGAAATTTGCTTGGTATATCTGGTATCTTATTTTCATTAATAAGATATCTTGGCGTCACATAGGTTATTATACTGTCTATCTCTCTATTCCTCAATAAGTGGACAATTAAGCACATAGTATTCAAGACAGTGACCATATGCCTGATCACATAATTTGCATTTAGTTTGATCGTCATTTGTGTGTCTCCCAAACTGCCAGAAGTACTTGTAACCAAGCCTAAGCCTGGCCACTACAATGTCAGTCAGTACTTGTAACCAAGCCTAAGCCTGGCCACTACAACATCAGTCAGTCTGTTCACATTGCAAGTTGCTCCATAAACATACTTATCTATGTTCATGTTATCATAGTGGGTTATAGATCTACTCAGGCTTCTAACTGCATTCCTATAACAATCATTTTCATTATTTACTTCTCTCCTAAATTATTCCTAATGTTAGACACAGATATACTAAAGCAGGGTTGACCTAAAGAGAGAGAAAAACCCAGAAAGACAGAAAAAACTTTCATCATTCAACACTTTCACCATCACTCATACAGAATCACTGCCTTTGCAGAGGCCTGACAAACTAGGCTGTCACTGTTGGCCACATGTAAACTGACATGCAGCCAGCAGTAACAGCCTTGTTGATCAGACCCTGATCCCCCATGAGGCCTGGTCTCAGACTGGGCCATGGGGATGTTGACCCCCGAAACCCTCTCCAGGTAAACTTCAGGTAAATACTACTACTACTACTACTAATAATAATAATAATAATAATAAATTTAAAATATTGTCCCCTTAAAGAAGATTCCTTGATGCTGGTGAAAGGCTCCTGATGCAAGGAATTGGACTTGTCCTCCTCTTCCATGGATTAAACCTCATTGTCTCCCATTCCCTAGGCACTGTATAACTCCTTTGGGTTTAGCACTTTCCCAAATATATAATTAGAATGTTCTATAAAACTGCTTATCAGTCCCCTCTCTGCCTTAATGGCAGAGAGGCTCTTGATCCAAGGAAAGGGACAAGCTCCTCTTTCCTTGGATCGAATCTGAATGTCTCCCATTCACCAGGTACTGTATCACCCCTAGGGATTTAGTGCTTTCTCTGAATGTAATAAATGTCTAATACTGATAAAACAGGACATCTGATGATGATGATGATGATGATGATGATTGATGATGATGATGATGATGATGATGATGATGATGATGATGATGATGATGATGATGATGATGATGATGATGATGATGATGATGATGATGATGATGAGATATGATGATGATGATGATGATGATGATGATGATGATGATGATGATTGATGATGATGATGATGATGATGATGATGCTTTGCATAGAAATGTTTCAGATTATGTTTATATAATTATCTCAGCTGTAACCAAATAAAATGTAATTAAAATCATTGTAACCTCAAGGACCTCAATGGAAATAAGGCCCCTCAAAGGAGGTTCTTTGACGCTGGTGAGGGGCTCTTGATCTAGGGAATTGGATCTGTGCTCCAGTTCCCTGAACTGAGCCTGAGTACCTTCCATCCCCTCCCTCAGGCGCTGTATAATCCCTACGGGTTTAGTGCTCCCCCATGATTACAATGGAAGCAAGTCACTTTGACTTTTATTTTGGGTTATCCAAGGTAATTTACACTTTTGTTACTATGAATGATGATTGTACTTGTGTGTACCTGTCCCTAAATAAACTTACTATACACAAATAACCCGCACATAGGAGAAACCGATGACGAAGTTTCGGTCCGACGTGGACCGAAACATCGTCATAATTTTCACATATGTGCGAGTTATACGTGCATTGTTCCAGTCACGGTATTGTAAGTTTATTTAGGCACAAGTACACATAAGTACTATTATCATATATATAGTGTAAATTAACTGGGATAACTCTAAAAAAAGTCAAACTGACAAATTTCCACTGGGGTCCTAAACATAGTTCCATTAGGGTCCTTGTGCCTCTCTGTTCCTACTTATTGTCTATGCTAGTTAGAAATAAAGATTTTTTGATGTTTTCATTATATATATTTGTTGATTAGTGACCCTTCAAGGGAGGTTCCTTGACGCTGGTGAGGGGCTCTTGATCTAGGGAATTGGATATGTGCTCCGGTTCCCTGAATTGAGCCTGAATACCTTCCCCCCCACATGCGCTGTATAATCCTATGGGTTTAGCGCTCCCCCATGATTATAATTATTATTGTTGATTAGTGATGCCGTATAAGAGTGGGTCAACACTCATGACCAGTGACGTCATTAACCAAGGCCGAGAATAATCAGAGAAAGCTGACACGAGCTCTTTCTTTCCCTCTAATTCCGCTCTCCTCGTCTCTGGTAGGTTCATTCTGCACTCCTTCACATGAAAATGAAGCGGTAGAGGCTAAGTGTTAGTGGTGGCGGGTGGTGTGAGCTGGGTGGTGATGTATTAATGTTGGAAAGTTTGAGGTTGGAGTGGGAGGTCCTTGGCGCTGATTGGCTGGCGGCTGCCTCGAGCTGCTCCTCGACCAATGAGGACGAGGCAGCTCCAAGTCCCTTTCACCCAGCGCCATATTAAGTGACACCTGCAGCCTCCCTTCATCTCTAGTCACTCTCACACGTCTTTCTAGATTAAAAACGCTCGTTTGTAGCGGGTAGTTTCTGCCTGGTAGCTCCGCCATAGCTGGACGACTTTTAAACTTCAAGGAAGTTTTTTTTTTTAAACGTGAAAGAGTCAAGGACGAGGCAGTTCAAGGACGAGGTTGCTCAAGGACGAGGCTGCTAAAGGACGAGAAAAATTGGCACATAATGAAGCAAAACTGGGTAGACGCCCCTCAAATTGGCATAGTTGTGGAAGTGTTGTGTAGCTCTGCCAGAGTGTTAATACTGGCCCCTAAGCATTTGTGTTGTGATTACTAGTATGAGGTTATGACCCTAGGAGTTACTACTGTGGCTTCTGGGCTGTGTGAGGCTGAGGCTGTGTGAGACCGGGACTGTGTGCGACAATGGAAGCACAGGGAGGGAAGCAGTCGTCTTCGCCGTCGGGCAGCGAGGAGCTAGAGAGCGATGCGGATAGCAAACACGAAGATCAGGCGGATGATACAAAGGACTCTGAGGAAGAAAATGAAGAGAACGATAAAGAAGACGTGGACGATTCTGACTCCGATGACAGCGAACCAACTGAAGAGGAGGGCTCGGAGAATTCAATAAAATTTAGCGTTAACTGCAAGTCAGAATTTGATAAAGTTGAGAACTCTGAAGACAGGAAAAAATTTAAGGATTCTGAAGGCTCTATGCATGAATCTGAGGGATATGGAATGGACGCAGAATGTTATCCAATGGCTGACCTGCCGCTTGAGGTGATCACCACAGTGGAACCAACGAACTATTCTTACCCAGTCTTGAAGAATATGTCAAATGGAGTCTTGACACACAGAAACATATTCACAGAGCATGAACGCTCTGTCCTCGTCAATATTATTAACAAGTATCGAAACATAGTCGACACTAGAAGTCGTACTCGGGAAATATATCTAGAGAAACAGAGTGTGTGGCAACAAATTGTGGAAGAATACAATAGTACAGAGAACATAATGGTACGCACAGAGAAGGAACTGCGTAAGTGTTGGGATAACATGAAGTACCGTGCCAAGCAAGCAGAAAAGGAAATGTTTAAGGTACTCGACCAAGCCTTTGATGGAGTTCAAGTGAAGAATGAGGCATCGGAGTTTGAGGTTAAGATGGAGCCGCCAGACTTTGATGACCGACATTCTCACACAGGTTAGTCTTCAGTCATGTTTACTATAATTCTTTACCACCTTTTTCCTACAAAAAAAGTGATTCCATTTTGTCTTCCCTTTTATACAGTAAGTTTATTTAGGCACAGGTACACACAAGTACAGTTAGCATACATAGTGTAAATTAATTAGGATAACCCATAAAAGTACTATACAAATGTATTTATATATTATTTGACCTTGTTAATGATGGCCCTAAATCTATTTGTACTGTATCTAATGTAACAATTTCACTGTTGTGCATAGCCTAGTTTCCAACAAGTGTCATTTCTCTACAAAAAAAATTAAAGTGCTCAGAGTGCTATTTTTTAATTTGGAAAAGGCCATATTTCCACATCTAGCACTTATATTCCTTAAAAACTGAATATCTATACAGTGGAACCTCGAATTTTGGCCGTAATCCATTCCAGAAGCTCGGCTGAAACTCGGATTGTTTGAAAGTCAAAGCAATATTTCCCATAAGAAATGTAAATCCATTTAATCCGTTCCAGACACCCAAAAATATTAAAAAAAAAATACGTTTTTCAAAGATTAACTATAGTTTTACAAACACAGAACAATTATAAATATATATAGTACGTACTTAAATGACTAATGAACTAGATAAATAAACATTTAAAATCACATTTACACACCTTTATTGACGACACATGTTGGCATATGGAAGACAGGGAGGAGAAAGGGAGGAATTGTTATTGTTTGGAAAGGAATCCCCTTCCATAAAGACTTTAGGTACCAAGTCATTCGGGGTTACTTCCCTTTGTTTTTTAATGGCGCTAGGACCAGCTTGAGTCACTGGACCCCTGTCACACAAAAAAAAAAAAACTGTCTGGAGAGGTCTGTTTCTGGCGTCTCTTTAGCATTTGTCCAAAATGGGACATGGTTTTGTCACTGAACATGTTGCAGAGATGGCTTGTTTCAGCTTGCTCAGTTAGCCTATCCATAGGCTTGTGTCCTGGCAGTGCCTTTTCCTCCTGCGTGATGTAGGTCCTCTTTGGCATTTTCTTGCATAAGAGGCCTGTTTCGTCACAATTGAACACTGTTGGGGGACGAATCCTTCAGCCTCTACATAGTCCTTGAATTCATGCACAAATTTTTCATCTGCACGTTTGTCTGAACTTGCATCCTTGCCATGCCTTACAACACTGTGCATGCCATTATGCTTCTTGAAGTTGTTGAACCAGCCTCTGCTGGCCTTAAATTCACTAACATCAGCACTTGTTCCAGGCATTTTCTTTACGAGATCCGTGTGCAACTGCCTCGCCTTTTCACAAATGGTCGTCTCTGAAACACCATCTCCCGCTAATTGTTTATCATTGATCTACACCAACAACAACTCTACATTTTTTATTGTTTGTGATCCATTTTTCGGTAGCATTTCTACCCCTTTCGCATCATCAGCTTCCTTGATTTCTTTTTTCTTCGCCAGGATGGAACTGATGGTTGATTTGTTTTTGCTATACATCCTGGCAAGTTCGAGCACACGCACACCACTTTCGTATTTATCGACAATTTTCTTCTTCAATTCTATTTTGTTTCTCACTTTCTTTACCAAAGGGCTGGTACTAGGAAGTTCTTTTGGGCCCATGGTTAATTATGTAGCAGTCGCTCTCAATCAACAAGCACAAAAAGCAATGGATTATTGTGAAATGTTTGGATGAACGTGCAGGGTAATGTTCACTTGAGGAGAAACAAAGCCAGACTGACTCTCAACACATGCGTGGGATGCTTTGTGTGGGCGCAGACAGGTCTGGTACAGCGGCCGAAACTCTAAGGTACTGTTCACAACTCAAGACAAAATTTAGGCGAAAAAGTGACTGAAACTCAAAACAGCCAAAACTGGGGTGGCCAAAACTCGAGGTTCCACTGTATTACTAAAAGCATTTACTTTTTTTTTATAATCATATAATAGTTTATGCATCAGAAATACACTGGTACCTTGACTTATGAGTTTAATTCGTTCAGTGACCGAGCTCATGACTCAATATGCTCGTATATCAAATCAATTTTCCTCATTGAAATTAATTGAAATGCCATTAATCCGTTCCAGCCCCGAAAAAACAATCCCAGGGACAGGAGAAAATACTTCAGTATAACGCTAATATTAATTCTATGGCTTATTTATCCATCAGAATTGATCTAATAGGACACAATAAACACTATAAACAACATAGAAACATGATATATACTCTACAATGAATAAAATAGGTCATAATATGGCGAGTGTCCAGGACCAGTCCGAGCATATAAAATCATTACTGCTCCTTCATATAACATGTTCTTTGGTCCTGGGTAAGAGAAAACAAAGTTTCTGAGAGGCTAACTGCACTAGATCACTAGTGCAGTGATATACGAATATCTCGGAAGTAAGTTAATGACTTATTTCATGGAGCCCACATTTATTATTTAAGTAAATGCAATAATATTCAAGTTTATTCTCTATAAAGATTATAGTGCAGGATTTACATATTATAAAATATTGGTTACAATGTGTTGTTTACATATTATAACATACTAATTGCAAAGAGGGCCACTATCGTGCCTAGCATGACTAGGTATTTCGGGCAGACTAAGAATAATTCAAATTACATATATTGATACAGGTTATGGAGCATATTGATATTAAAGCTTGGTAACTGCATTACAGTTTGTAATTTTACCAATGAGAATGGCAGTGAGAATGACAGGAATCATAAAAAATGATTGTTTTACAGTTGGCTTGTGAAATATTGGAAATATTACAAATATTTTGCAGTTTTTGTGGGAGTAAAGGGCAAGATGTTTTGCAAATGTCAAAAACTTAGCAACTTTATTTTTTTGTAGAATAACTAAAGATAATTACACAATTACCTCCAGTGAGAACATCGCACTAGCATTGTTTTATAAGTATCAAGTCCCAAAGCCACCTTTCATTGTGCCATTTAGGCTGGGGTTCTTGCCAGATGTCATTTTCAGTAAATATTTTTTTTTTTTTGCTCGTAACTTGGATTTTGGCTCACAACTCAAAGCAAAAAATCGACCTAGTGACGGCTCGTAACTCAGAAAACTCGTAAGTTGGGGCACTCGTAAGTCAAGGTACTACTGTATGACTAAATGTATTCCTAGCATTAGCTAGTTCAGGAAGAGAAATAAAAGTTTCCTTATGAGTGAAGCTACAGAGAGGGAGGAGTGTGATTTCCTGTATAGTTAACATTTGTGCCCGAAATGCCTCGGCATAATAGTGGCTTTCTTTGCTCCAATCATATTATGATATGTAAACACACATTGTAACCTAAGCAAAGAAATAAATTTTTTATATTATTATTATCACACTGGCCGATTCCCACCAAGGCAGGGTGGCCCGAAGAAGAAAAACTTTCACCATCATTCACTCCATCACTGTCTTGCCAGAAGGGTGCTTTACACTACAGTTTTTAAACTGCAACATTAACACCCCTCCTTCAGAGTGCAGGCACTGTACTTCCCATCTCCAGGACTCAAGTCCGGCCTGCCGGTTTCCCTGAATCCCTTCATAAATGTTACTTTGCTCACACTCCAACAGCACGTCAAGTTTTAAAAACCATTTGTCTCCATTCACTCCTATCAAACACGCTCACGCATGCCTGCTGGAAGTCCAAGCCCCTCGCACACAAAACCTCCTTTACCCCCTCCCTCCAACCTTTCCTAGGCCGACCCCTACCCCGCCTTCCTTCCACTACAGACTGATACACTCTTGAAGTCATTCTGTTTCGCTCCATTCTCTCTACATGTCCGAACCACCTCAACAACCCTTCCTCAGCCCTCTGGACAACAGTTTTGGTAATCCCGCACCTCCTCCTAACTTCCAAACTACGAATTCTCTGCATTATATTCACACCACACATTGCCCTCAGACATGACATCTCCACTGCCTCCAGCCTTCTCCTCGCTGCAACATTCATCACCCACGCTTCACACCCATATAAGAGCATTGGTAAAACTATACTCTCATACATTCCCCTCTTTTCCTCCAAGGACAAAGTTCTTTGTCTCCACAGACTCCTAAGTGCACCACTCACTCTTTTTCCCTCATCAATTCTATGATTCACCTCATCTTTCATAGACCCATCCGCTGATGCGTTCACTCCCAAATATCTGAATACGTTCACCTCCTCCATACTCTCTCCCTCCAATCTGATATCCAATCTTTCATCACCTAATCTTTTTGTTATCCTCATAACCTTACTCTTTCCTGTATTCACCTTTAATTTTCTTCTTTTGCACACCCTAAAAAGAAATAAATATTTTATTTTATTTTTTTATTTATTAATACTGTTGTAAATAACTTGGTTCATTTATTGTTGTCGTACCTCTTTTTACTGTAATGATTTTCATGCAGTTGAGTAACTTCACTGTTTTAATGTTTTAGGTTATAGTCATGATTTATTTCTGCTGTAACTTACAGCTAAGCATTAAATAATAATATATTACAAGGACCCCAATGGCAGTAAGTCACTTTGCCTTTTTGTTTGGTTATCCTAGGTAATTTACACATGCTAGTATGATAATTGTGATTCCTGAATTTGGATAACTGTACTTATGTATACCTTTAACTAAATAAACTTAATTACTTCTTGATAGTATTCTTTAACCCTTTCACTGTTGAAGCCCCTGATCACAAACATGCTCTGTGTCGTAAAATATTCGAGAAAATAAAAAATTTCTTACCAAATCTTAAGAATATTTTTTTAATTGTTTTAAAAGAAATTTTTTTTTGCGATGAGCACTTACTGAGCCAACTCTGTTGAGGGGGGGGGGGAGTCAGGCTCTGACTGTAACCGAGTAGCAGCCTCTCTCCAGAATGCTACTGACCATGTTTCCCACTGGGCCACTACTCATAGGTTTAAATTTTCTCTTACTAAAACATGTGAGATTGCTTTCAGAAGACGCTCTGTTGTCCCTAATACCGCATTGTACCTGTATGGTTCCTGCATCCCAGAATGAGATAGTCAAATTTCTCAGCCT